TTCCGTACCTTCACCAATTTTCAAATATCCAAGCATTGATAAACAATTTTGTTTGAGAAATTCTAACATAGAAAACTACTACTTAAGCCAAATACGAGATAACAACGAAAGAACACCTAAAAGATTCCTTTCACTCGTACCACTGAAAAGCTTTTTTTCAACTTCGCATGGCGTCTCAAAAAAGATCTGTCAACATAGTTTCTGTCTTTAGATATAGATTAAAAAGACATTAACTAAAGATTAGTAGTAATTATAGAGAAGTAAACATGCATTTCTAACTCAAACCTCGCTTGATCACAATGTGGGTTGCATTGCTGATGAGCTGGGAAAAAAAATTACAATCAGACAATGAAAATCATGCACATGGCCAACATTGCTCTCTAAGAAAAGAATTTTGGGTAAACTCTCTTATAATAATGCCAAGCAATGTAAGTGAGCATCAAGAGGAGAAGAATTTCTTTCTAAACAATCGATTAATGAACTAGAAGAAATAAGTTCGCGTTCAGAATAATAAAGCAATTACATTAGTTACTTTTTTTAACTAACATTTCTTTTTTTGAGAAAATTAAAAAGAAGGTTAGTAAAACTTTTCGAAAAGGAAAGAATAAAGAAAGAGCAATGTTATTGTTAAATGGAGTGCAAATCTATGCTATAAAATTTCAAAGTTTACAAAGTCGGTACCAGATAAGAAGGCGGAGCTTAATTTCATTATTTTGCAAATTAAGAATTGTTTACACTTGTTTTTTTACAAGGAAAATCCTTATTCAGAGGAATAGATTTTGGGAGCAATGTTGGAGAGATAAATAATAAATGTGCCAAAATTAATGAATATTTGTAATGCAAAATATCTTCATAAAACATAAATAAATGTTGATGGCTTTCATAGTTAAGGTTACAACACTTTTTTGTTTTCATTTACAGAAGGTAGTTAAACTTGAGAACCTGTGAATAAATCTATGTATGGACAAAAGTCGGTTGTTTAAAATTAGTACATGTTCAAACCATAAGGTATTCAGAGTGCTTTGACATCACTTTAGTAGAAAGCGACGATCATGGTTCCTACTCAGTTTTTCTAAAATCTTTTATGAAAGATTTCATAGCTGTGCAAGACAAATTTTTAATCTCAATTAAAATTATTCAGTTTTAATAAAAGAGTGGAACATGAAAACTGCAATTTAACCACCATTTTCACATATACGTGTTTTAAACAAATAGGAAAAGAATATTTGATCAGGAAAAAGGTTAAAAAAACTTTGTTTGATTTAAAATAGCTGACATCATAGGTATAGCAATCCTAATCACAGCTGAGCAAACTTTATAGTACCAGCCTTGACATTATACATAGCTAGAGAGGCAAGATAAACGGGTTGCAGCTATATAGAGAACAAAAGAAATTCAGTTAGAAAAGATAATTAAAAAATGATTTAAATTTTTCATTCTAGCATTTAGACGTAACCGAAGGGCGAAAACTTGCATCATTCACATTTAATTAACTGTTTTTATTATGGAATAACTGCTATAAAGTGGTAAGCGGAAGACATTTATTAGAAGTCGAAATGTTTCTAAATAATGGCTAACAAACGGAAAAAAATTGTGACTAACTAAGCTGCAAATGTATATTTGCTTCCATGTGATCCATGTGTGTTCAAAGAAGTTATATATATATATATATATATATATATATATATATCATTTCTGTTTCTTCTTTATATATATAAAGAAGAAACAGAAGATGATACACGATTGAAACTTTAATAAGAAAGCAAAGAGCGAAAAAAAATCGCTCTGAAAAATCTATAGCTGAATAAGCAGTTTGGAGAGTGTTTTTAATTATAAGGACGAAGAGGAAAAGAAATAGCAGTAATCCGGAAACGTCATCTCTAAATATTAAATTATCTGTCAAAAATTTACTTAAAGGCTAAGTAATGGTGACAACGTTCTAATGTACTTCCTGAATGTAATGCAGTTGCTGACAACCACGTAACTAGAAAATTGCTTTTGGGAGGGAAGGGAGCAGACCTAAAGCCTCCTTACGCGTTATTAAAATTGGGAAAATGAGAGTGAAATACTAACAGAAATTCACTCTACGTCATCAACAGTTAACAGGTATTTATAGCTTATTAAATTAATGTTAATTACATATCAGTTCCTATGCTTGCTGAAACGATATTAAGTTTTAACAACTCGGGATGAAAGCCCAATAAATTTCTTTTATGATTTATTACTCTTTGCTGCTGCTGAGTTATCTTTGTTTTATTATTTCCCATTTTTGAGAGCATCTGATGCATCTTAGCATCTTCTTCGTCTCCCACTCCTAAAATGCTACTAGAAATATTGTTAGTAAATAAAGCTCGGTGGGAAAAAATAAAAAAGCAATATGTGATTAAATTATCACCTCTTCAAAAAATAAATTTCTTTTTTAAATAAATGTTTGAAAACTTAAATGTAAGGTCCAACGTAGGTATTTTCTGTGCCAGTATTTGGAATATGTTTAAAATTTGTACTTCTAGATTCGCCGCTGATCTCTACTAAGAACAAGAACAAAGATTGTGTGATGTCTTTTTCCCGTTACTGTCTTGCCCGCTTCCTCTGTTAGCTCAAATGTCGGAAGATAAGAACTGAAGGGAGTTGAGCTGCGGCCACACACTGCCCATCAGCCTCGATCTTGTACCATCTGACTGCTGTTTATTTTGTTCGATCTCGCAATTCCTGCACCGATAGACAACTCTAACATTTAGAGCACGTGAACGTAACTTCGCTTCGAAATGCAAGAAGTGACCCTTCAGGGGAATTTGCGAAGAGAGAAAAAGAGGATAAACGAACATACAGCATCATGGGTTAAATTAAATTCGAAATTTTTATAATATACTTATATGACAGTACAACTGAATTGTGGGCTGGTGAAGAAGAAATTACAAGACATTTTTTTTACTGCAAAAATACGTATAATACTACAAAACTACTTTTAATTATTTTTTTTTCACTAAAATTTTTTTTCGGTGTTTCTTATAACAGATTACAGAATTAAAAAAAATAATAATGATGCTACTTATGTTAAGCTAATTGATTAAGACAAAGCGATTCGGAGCTATTCACCTACTAAAAATAATGTAACAGATTTATCTGTTTCTTCTATCAGTCTTTTTTTTTTTTTTTTTTTTTTTTCAGATATCAGGAGTGACAATACAAAAAAAAAATAACGCCTCTTAAAACCCTTAGGAATAAATAGATTCTGTAATTATTTCTGCATTGATTAGGAGTAAAAACTTAAAATGTGAAATTGTTATATATCATACACCTGAGATGAATAAATTAAAAAAAAACTGACATGATTTCTAGATGATGAAAATATAACCAGTTTCAAAAGACTTTTAAGGACAATACGATTTGCCTTTTATTCAAGATCGGTTGCGAACATCTGATCAGAAGTTACTGTAGCATGAATAATCTTTTCTTTGGTGTTTATTGAGATACACATTTTCTCCCCCCACCGCCTCTTCTCGCAACAACATAATTTTATAAAGATATATTTACGAGTATATATACATACATAACGAGTGGCAAAATTTTTATCGGTTAAATATTCAAACTGAGACCAAAATAATGTATACTTAAATGCTGCAAAACACTGCCTTAGCGGGTCAAGGACTCTAGATGGCTAGCAGTCCGTAATTTATTTAAGAACATAAGTTGGCAAGCGTAGAAAAGCTGGTGATTTAAGCAAAAGAGATTAAAGCTCTCAAAGGATACTTCACCGTAAGCCTATTTTCTAAGCTTAACTTTACATAGTTCCAAGTTTAAATATTCAATGTCAAAACTAAATGTGAAAATAAAGAACTACGAGTATATTTGCAGAGAAAAGAGAAATTAGAATTAAAAAAAATGCCAAAAACCTGAAGTCAAAATAAAAACTTCGTTTTTAGACTTTTGTAAGGTGTATCACAGAAATTTATAAACATTAATAAGTAAACTGTTCTCAAATTTAGATTAAAACCCTGTAAATAAAATTACCTAATGGTTTTGTAAATGAATTTCTATCGTGATTTCGTTTGCTTCGACAGTAGGACAAGACGTAGCAGCTGCATCTTGAGACTAATGCAAGATGAACTGTATTAAATGCGTTTTCATGAGTCATAGAATCTGCTTTTCATATAAATGAAAAAACTTACTTGAAGGACATATGTTAAGAATATGCTGGTTAAGAAAACTGCAGTAATTTGATTGTAAAAGAAACAGATAAGCTGATATTAAAATTTTTATTATCTCATTTTTTCTCCTATATTTATTTTTTAAATTCTCTATCTGTTTTATAAACTAAGAGCCGATTATTATCAAACGTCCAAGTAAAACTAGTTCTCGGTCAAACTAGTCAAAATTCTTCAGAGTTAAATGAATGATAAAATATTTAATACTTATTTTTTGTCATTTTAAGTAAATTCACTGTATAAAATTCTAAAAGATATACAATTTAAAAGAAAATATCATTGGTAGCAATTCAAATAATCATGTTTTCCCCATGATAGTTATAAGGTATTTCTCCCACCTTCTTGGCATGCCTTCGTGGTGTTGTGGTCTGCACGCTGGGCGTGTATTCCAGAGGTCCGTGGTTCGATTCCCGGCAAAGGCGTTGCTAATTTTTCATCTCTCCGGCTTTTCCAATTAACCTAGTGCCTCTACAGTGGCGCCCGAATTAAAAGGGTGTTGGATGATGATTCTCAACACCCAGAATTTGGCGATTGGGTCGCTTAAGGAAAAAAAACCCAGTCTCCCTTTACAAAGCGAGAGTATATGAGGTATTTCTTCCACCTTCTTGGCGTGCCTTCGTGGTGTGGTGGTCTGCACGCTGGGGGCTTATTCCGTGGTTCGATTTCCGGAGAAGGCGTTGCTAATTTTTCATCTATAGAGCTTTTCCAACAAACTAATGTCTCTACATAGTTAAAAGTAAAATATGAAAATGTTTCAAATGAAAGAAGGAATAACTTAAATTATTTATAACTCACGGATATTGTCGGATCCATCCTAGATTATGCATAGCATAATCTCTGTCAGTAAGATGAAGCAGAGCAGGAGGCAGAGGCTTCCTGAAAACTTCTTTGGGTAAATCATGCAACAAATGTTCATGAGTTAAAGTTAGTCCTAATTTCTCCGGTTCTACTGGTCCCAAAACTAAAATTAAAAAGTTAATACATTTGACAAAGGAATAGAAGCAGTTAAAATTTTATACAGTAGAATAACAATAGTCTAATAAGAAAGTGCCAACTTCAGTTTAAACGACAGAAAATATTTTACAACTCATCTTCTCAAGTTAATAATGCAATGACTGATATTTAAAAAATTTATATCATGCCACGTATAATCATTGATAATTTTCAAACGAAAGTCCCACAGAATCGACAAACTTAAATAAATCACAAGACTTCTTCTGAACTGGAAAATAACGTTGTATGGATATTTTAAAAACTGAAACTTCAGATAAAAATTGACGTAAACTAAGGGAAAAAAATGTAGAAATTAGAACCTTAAGAATTGATGAAGATTTATGCATGGTAATGAATTTCAGAATTATATCAGTAAACAATGATAATTAAGGCACACATATTTTGCTTATAATATATATATGTATATATAAATACTGAATTAACTAAAATTCATTGAAATCGAAAACAAGTTAACAGCTGTTGGCAATATTGCAAAATAAAAATAAAGCATTTAATATATGTATATAAAATAAAGTTCTAACTTTAGTTCGTAATCGCGCCTCACATCTGCTTTTTAATTTGCTTATTTCCACTTTCTATTTCGAAAATAGTGATGTGCTTGTAATAAATCTTTCTGAAATGCGTCTTTGAAAAATTAATTCCTGTCATATGCTAATGTTAATGACGCATATGCTTACATAACGGCAAAAGTGAACTTTAAAGCATTTATCCAACTAGAATTGAAACGCAACTTTAATTAAATCAATAGCAATAAAGCAATACTATGCTCCCTTTACTTAAAACGTTTACTTTTTTTATCAGTCTTAATCTAATGTGAATAGCCTAATATTTTTTTTCTCACGCTTGTTTTTAGCCTGATAGCTTGTTGTCTACAGCTTCTCATATTTTCTGTCTCCAATTACAATTACAGGTATAGGAACTTTGTAACCAGGGAACAGCGGATGTATTATTCATCTTTTACTTGTATATTACTTTACTATGTCTCATAAAAATGTATGTAAAATAAAGAGGATCTATGAGTTTTCAGGAACTGCTGTTATTCGAAAACATAATCACCTGAAAAAGCGTAAGCATCACTAACATTTTGTGTCACCACATCAGGTTTCTATTACTACACACACACACACGCATATACATATATATATTGTTACGAAATGTCCAGTCGCGGTAAGATAGCTTTATCGTAAAGCGGGTTTAGGATTGCCAGAAAATGACACGGGAAGGCAGAGTTGCCATATTTGGCGCGGAATTACGAATTTAGCGACAAAATTGGCGATATGCCATAGACTGTTGGAGAACATACTAGAATCAATTCTTACCGGTTTGGCACATAATGTTCTCGAAGGCATTCCAAAAGCTATACAAACCCTGCCTGTACGCGGAGTAGCAGTGTGTGTAGTGTATCGTCGAGTTTTATCTTCAGGGTGTTGAGCTCCGACAGCGATCGACGAAGTCGGGAGCTGTACTCTAGTGTTTTGCCGTGAAGCTGTCGTCACCGTGAACCTTCAGCCTGATAGCATGAAGGTTGTGTTGCTGATTGTTTTAGCGTGTTTGTCGTAGTTTTTCCACAACCATAAACGTGATTTTGGAAATGTCCTCAGTAATACTGGCTAAATAAATTGTGTTTTGATTCTACATCAAGTTTTGTCATCAATCACTCCTAATCCACGAACCCGAAGACTGCAACACTATATATTCAAATATTTTACAATTTAAGTAACATGACCTAGTTTTATATAATTGAATATATAAAGGGTGTCCTAGAATAAAATCGTCAGACATTTTCTGTCATCCTTTGATTGATGGCAAACATGTAATGGGAATCGCATATTTTACGAGTCACTAGACCAGCGATACTCAACCGTTGGTACGCGTACCATTGGTGGCACGCAAGAGAAAATTAGGTGGTGCGGAAACAAAGTATTTTTAACTATTAAACTCAAAAATTAAATAGCCCAACATCCTATTTAAGTTTTTCCTCTAATACTCGTAAATGTATGCGATCTGATCTTTGTTCAAGGTCAATAGCCGTTCATTGACTTAATCCGTTTTTATTTTCACAAATATTCTTTTAGCCATAAACATAACACAATTTTCCATAAATGATGTTTTTAAAAGGAGTAATAGAAATTGTTGTTGCAGTTACTTAGAAATAAACACAAGTTCCCATAAAAAGATAATAGTATTTTAATTAGCATGACTACACGTTATGCCGCTACCATTTCAGGGCTCATATTGCTGTATTTTCACTTAGGATAATTTTTTTTACGTCGCTTTGCTGTCTTTAACAGCAGGTATTTTATCTTCTTGTTGCTTTGCATTCCTTACTTTCCTACGCGATTTAGGAATATCGTCGTTTGGTTTTGAAGAACTCGTAATATATAGTGTATTCAAATATTTGAGAAAAAATAATAAAACAAACCTATATTTTCAAAATGGAAAAATGGCTGGGATTGACTAAGCGAAAAAAATGATGATTCACAGGTGATGGATCCAGGACAATCTACTAGCACTCAGAATATTGAAAAGAAAAGAAAAATTGTTTATCGAAAATATATCATGAAAGTTATTTATCACTGGGCTTACTTGGAATAGAGATGAAGAGGACACTCAACCTCAGTGTATCGTTTACGGTGAAGTATTATCCAATCAATGTACGAAGCCATAGTTTCTTAAAACACATTTTCTAAGCAGGCCAATTTAAAGGATAAATCTGAAGAATATTTTAAGAAGAAATTATCGGAGTTCAAAAATGGTAAACAAGTAATGAAAGTTTTTGTTACCTCAAGTGAAAATGCTTTGGAAACTAGTTACCTCGTAAGTCTAAGCATTTCCAAGACTGGTCAGGCTCACACTATTGGAGAAAACTTATATTACCAGCAGCTAAAGATATCGTTTTAACAGTATTCAACGAAAATCAGCTAATGAACTTAATAAAATTCTGTTATCAAAGGATACAGTAAGTCGACCAATTGATGAAATGGAAAATTCTATAAGTAAAAAAATAAAACACAGTATTTCGCATTGCAGTTGAATGAAAGTACTGATATAACGAACTTTGTTCAATTATTGGTTTACATACATTTCGAAGAAGATATTCGAATTGTTGAAGAGTATTTATTTTGTGAATCTCTTCATGATAGCGCAACTGCAAATGAAATTTTCAAAGTATTGACAATTTTATATCTGAGAATGATATTCCTTGAATTAAATGCATTGCCGTATGCAGTGACGGAACTCGGGCTTTAACAGGAACACATTCCGGTGCAGGGGCGTAGCTAGAGGGGGGCAAGGGGGCATCTGTCCCCGGGCGCAGAATCCAAGGGGCGCCAAACTGATGTTACGACATTTTAGAATTAAAAGTTTTCCATCCTTGGCAAGCAGTAGGTGGCGCGAAATCTTCAGTTGTCTCTGGGCGCTGAAAACCCTAGCTACGACTCTGTTCCGGTGCGATTTCTCAAATAAATAAAGTGAAACCTGAAACTTTGTAGAGCCATTAGGAGTTTTTGGAAGCAGGAGAGATGAAAAATTAGCAACCACCTTCGCCAGGTCGAACCGCGGACCTCTCAAACGCACTGAGCATGCAGACCACTACACCACGAAGGCTCGCTAAGAAGGCGGGAGAAATACCTTGTAACTAAATTTACTCATTGTTTCATTCATCGTGAAATTTTAGTAATCAAAATAATTCCCTAAAACTGAAAATCGTTTTGAATCAAGCTGTGAAAATTGTAAGCTTTTCTAAAAGCCGAGCTTTAAATTCAAGAACATTTACAATTTTATGCCAGGAGATGGGCAGTGAACATGAAACGCTTTTGTTATATTTCGAAGTAAGGTGGTTATCCAGAGACAAAGTTTTCAATCGTCTTTTTGATATTTGATTAGAAATTAAAATTTTCCTCTGTGATTTAAAATTAGAATCGCAAAAATGTTTATTTAGTGAATTATGGCTAGTGCATTTAGCATATTTAGCTGAAATTTTCAGAAAGTTAAATGAATTAAATTTAGGGCAAAGCGTCAATTTTTTTACCATTAGAGATAAAATAAATAAAATGATAAAAATCTCCAGCTAATAATCAAAGAATTAAATAGAAATTTTTAAGCATTTTACCACATTAAGAAAGTTTTCTATCGAAAAATATCTTGAAAATAAAAGAAAAATTAATATCCGACATTAAAAATCGTGGTTTTCCACTGATCAATAATTTTAACAGGTATTTTTCCTAGGATTATGAAAAAAAGAAAATTTTATTTGAAATCCATATTGTTGAAATGTAATTGCAATTTTATCTCGTGAAGAAAAAGAACAATTAATAGAAATTTCCTGTGATCGAACTTTAATTGAACATTTCAAGAAAAATAAATTACAGAACAAAATTAAAAGTGGATCCTAATTTGAGGTTAAAACTAAGTGAAATAATAGCAGACATAAAGAAATTGATCTCTCTTAAACAGGCATAAATTTCACACTAAATGTGAGGATTAAAAGTATTATAATTTAAATTTTCATAATTAAAATGGTAACTAATTTTTAATCTAATATTTTTATGTGTGCATAAATACAAATAGCTAATAATTTGCGCAATTGGCAAAATATAATTTTTTTAAATATTTCTGTTGAGAAATTGGAAATTAATCATTGTAAAATGTAGTGTATGTGTACATTGTAAATGTATTGTAAATGTAGTGTAAATGTAGTGTATGTGTAATGTGGTACTAAATGTTTTCAGTTTTTGTTTAGATGGTACGCGTTAGTCAAAAGTTTGAGAAGCACTGCACTAGACGATGAACAACAATGAAAATTTGATGCGAAAATCTACCTGCCTCTTGTGGTTTGTTGCGGATATCTTCTACACTACGTTTTTACGCCAGATTTTGCATTGCTAGTTATTATTTAGAATAGATATACAAATAAAATTTCTTGCTATGCTGAATAGTTTAAATCTG